AAAAACAACCCAAAAAACCCATACATGATAATCTAAGTAGACAGAAAAAGCATTTGACAAAATTGAGCAAACATTTTTTGTTAAAAAGAAAACTGTTCAACAAAGCTGTGATAAAAGGGTACCTGATACACGTGATTAGGGGCGTTGACCTCAGTATCCTGCATCACAGACTCTGAGCACCTGAGGCCCCCCTGCCCCGGGGCCAGAGCACCCCTCAATCAGTGGCCCCAGCCTCTCAAGGGACACTGAAGATAATTTTTGAGGTTTTGTCTAGTATTTTCTGAATCACCTGTTCCCTGTACCGGCTCTGTGCCTGCTGTCGGTGTTCTCTCCAGCGTCTGCCTGCCCCCCACTTGCTCATATTTCTTCACGAGGCAGCTCAGTGCTACGTGGCCGTTCTGACATCCGGCCTCTCCCGACAGGCTTCAGGGTTTGACGGCTGGCAGACTCAGGGGTCCCGGAGAGCCGCGGATGATCAGGGCTGTCGCCACCCCAGCTCTGAATGCTGCTGCTCACCTGCGGGCTCTGAAATAGCAGCTCGTGGAAACACATTTTTTTCTAATGAAGGAAGGAGAGCATGAGCATCGGGGTGAGAGTGTGAAGTCGTGCATCTCAGCTCCCGGAGCTGCCTGCTCAGCCGCCCGTGTGACCTTGGCCGTCTGTCTCCTCACATGCGGGGTGGGCAGGTACAGACAGGTGCCCTGTAAGCGTGTATTTTCCTCTCCTTCTTCCTCTGGTGAGGAGAAGGCTCATCCCTCTTGGGCTCTGTTTCTGCATGGTGACGTTCTGTGGCCTCAAGGACCCTGGGGGCCCCCGCTGTCCACATAAATGGGGAGTGACTGGCTGTCCACATTGGAGCAGCGTCTCTGACAGCCGAGGGCTGTGAGGCGTCTGGAGCCGCAGACTGTATCGACTTCATTTCGTGGCTTTCCATCAGAGTTTTTATTTCCTAGATGGCTGTCTGCCGGCACCAGGAGCCTCTGAGTGTCTGTGCTGCTGGCACAGCTTCACCGAGGTCTGAAGACAGGACACGCAGTGGTCAGAAACCAGGCAGGGGGTGCCCGGCCCAGTCCTGTCTCCACCCTGAGGGAGGCCTGTGTGGTCACACTAGGTATAGCTACACCCAACGGTGTGCAGCCTTCCCTATGTCCCCAGAACCCCTGAGGCCCCCCGAGATCTCTGCCCCGCTGCAGAGCGAGCCAGATCCGACTCTCCACTGTGACCAGCGATCGCACTTTTAGGCAGTGCAGGGCAGACCATAATTTTGGAGGCCTTCCCATAAAGCTTCTTGAAATTAGCTGCAGAGCCCATTCACGTGAATGCCAGTGCTGCACCTCACAGGCAACCTCAGCGCTCCGTACGCTCTCGGAGAAACCTGTGCCAGGTGAGTGGACCCCTCTGCATGAGGGGCATCTCCAGTATAAGTGCCAGGGCGCAGCTGCCCAGGGGGAGGGTCGGGGGGACAGAGACGAGGCAGGTGGCCGTGCAGACAGGAACTCCAGGCAGCAGCTTTCTGAACATGGCAATTTTCAGGAAACCATATGGATTTGCTATTGTGTGAAGAACGAGTGAAGCTACAGAAGATCCCCAAAGCTAAAATCACTGTTTTTCCTTTTGTCTGAAGTAGAACCGCCTTGTGCGAAGAGCTCCGGATCAAAATTCATGACGCCTTTTGTCTCGGTAACAATGTAATCATGACTGCTATCGCTCTTGTCACTGGATGGTCTTAAAACAAACGCTGGACAGTCCACATGTCTGGCTGCAGCTCCGACCCCCAGTCTGTTGCTGCTCCTGGAATCTCCGCCACGTGGCGAGGTGGCCCACACGAGGTCTCATCCCCTCTGTCACCCCAGCCAAGGGTCAGCCAACATTGCTGAGCGTGGCGTCTCGCCGAGTGACAGCCAAGCACAGATGCTGAGAGAACGCAGGGAAGACCGCAGAGCAGCGCCGTCCAGCCGAGACCCACTGAAGTGCTGACTCTGAGAATCACGAGCTCAATAAACCGTGTGATTTTAAGCCATTAGGTTCTGGGGTGAGTTGTTATGCAGCAAACGCTCATTGATACATGCCCCTTTATTAGTCCATGGAATAGAAAAAGAATAAACCTTAGGATGATTACTGCATGCCTGACACTCCCACCTAGTCATTAGTTTTTCTTCGTTTACAGAAAAGCAGAAAACAACACCAAGAACGTTGCTGAGATCCCTGTTTTCACAGACATCCTGCAGGACCAAATGAAGCACGTTGGATGGCCCCCCGGCCCCTCGCGGGTGGACTAACGGCACTGGGGGAGCAACGCCAGCCACGCTGTGTCTTGGATTTCCCCCCCTCAGAGCCGTTTCCGGGCCCAGGTGTGCTCATTGGATGCCAACCCAAAAGTCTCACTAGTGCCTAAGAAGTTGCCAGACGCTTAGATGACTTGTCCCGTGGATGTCCTTGGGCATCTGTACCCTTTCTGCCTGGGGTGTAAATGCCAACATGCCCATCTTATTGCTATAACCAGAGGCCACTAGAGAATTATTAACCAGTAGGTACTGGGATTATGGCTAAAGATACCAGCTGCTGTGTCATTAAGGGAACTGCTTCTGACGGGCCCCCACCACTGTTGCCCGGGTTGAGGAGCACACCTGGGGCACACAGCTCACTCCCCCAGCACCTGCACTACCTGGCCGACCAGGTAGAAAAGCCCGTCGCCCCAGCCACTCACGTCCTACCATTTGATTGACAAGATGGTTTCTGAGTGGCTTTTGGACCTTTGCAGAGTTCCAGATACCATATCTACCAGCTGAAGAAATTGTGTGAAAATTGTCATGATAAAATGGATTCAGTAACTGATTGCCAAAAATGTAGGTTAAGACATACTATGAAAAAAGTGGTATTTAAATCACATCTGTGTTTACTTACACACTCAGGCAGAAGTCCATGCAAGTCTTAAAGAAAGAGGAATACAATCCTTCTGAGTCTGGCTCATTGCACGGCCACAGGATGGGCATTAGCTGAGGACCTGAAGACATGCTAAGCACCGGTCATCTCCACCCCCCGGCACAGGGCATTTATTCACAGACAAGGAGAGAGTGTATGGATATAATGCACGTGTGTGTGTGTGTGTGTGTGTGTGTGTGTGAATGGAGCCCACACGAGTGCAAAGGGCTGGTGGAGACATGTAGGAATTCCTTTTACATTTTCAGTCTAGTAACTATCCCAAACTTTCTGCTGAGGCTGGACCTTATACATTGGAGATGATTTTCCAAGAATTCATAACGAACCTGAAAACCTGCCTGGGGGCTCGGGACCATCTCAGCACAGAAGGGTCCTGACCCCTCCTTGCCGTCACTACCAACACAGGCAAGCTCCCCTCCTCAGCTTCTTCTTCACTTCTGATATCACCTCATGGGACAGGCCCCTTGGGCCCTGGTGCCAGCCCCAGTCCCTAGCCCCTGCACCCTGCCCAATCTGCAGCTTCTGACCGCCCAGCCCTGACCCCAGCCCCCCTTCTGAAACCCCGCCGGGTTCTCTGCACCCCTGCGGGAGCTGTTGGTTACAAAGCAGAGTGGCCTGTGTTGTGGTGCAGCCCTGCTACTCCCTGGGAGCTGAGGCAGACGCTGCTGGGGGTCTCACCCGCCCAGGGCTCCTTCTTGAAGCTGTTATTGCCCCTCCTGCCTCACAGGCCTCTGGAGTTGTGACCCCACTTAATACCCAGTCTCCCTTAGATGGCTGGTAAGGCCTTTGGTGAGGGGGGCCCCCTTCCTCTTGGCCCTGTCTGCCCTGCCCCACCATGAGCCTTAGGTCTGAGCCATCTGACCAGGTACTGGGCCTTGCAGACGGAGGAGGACGCCTCTGCTCCTCACCTGCTCACAACGTCCCTTGGTCTGGAGCTCCACAGCCGCCTCCCTGAACCCTCCTGCTGACAGTTCTCGCCCTCAGGAAGCGGGGCAGGGCGCCTCCTCTGCAGTGACTCCTGACCGCCCCCGTGAGTGCGAGCCCATCCCCTCCTTCGGGGGCTCGCAGAGCACACTGGGTATTCCGCCCTCTACCTCCAGCGTCACCCTGAGGCTGCATCGATCGTGTGGCCTGTTTCCCAAACCTCATGCAGGTCAGTAAGAACAGACCCTGGGAAACTGCGGACACTGAACAGAGGCCTTCGAACAGAGGCCAAAGCGCCCCCCACCTTCCCACATCTTCGTTCGGCCGGAGCTCGCCCCTTCTCCTCCTCTTGGTGGGCGTCCTCAGAGGTGTGAGGGTCTGTCTGCTCCTGCCCGCCCACTCCAGTGACTGCCCTTGGCCCCCATCACTGGGTTTCACAGCTCTGTCCACGTCACCTGTTATTTTCCCATCCCTGCATCTCCCTTCTGGTTGAACCCGCACCTCCCGCTGCCCCTCCAGGCCTGACACCGCTGATCCCCTCAGTCTATCAGTTCCTGACGATTTCCGTGGCCCTTCAGCCCGCTAGCGCCCATGGGTGTGGGTCTGACAACCCCAATCTGCCCCCTCTTGTTTTCTTCTTTCTCTGCATTTTGCAGGCAGGAGGCCCGGGCTTTGCTTTGCTGGGAGCCTCACCTGCTGGGGGGCAGCTCTCGTGGCCCTCACACTACGCCCTCACCTCGCTCACTTTCCCGGATGATCCCCCACACGTGTCCCCACCACCCGCCCCCTCACCTCGCTCGCTTTACCAATGGCCCCCTTCTCCTGTGGGTGGGGTCTTGCTGGGACCCCCAGCGGACCTGCCGGTGCTGGCGACCCTTCAATCCGCCTGCAGCCCCCTTCCCAGGCCATGACCCCCAGGGAACCCCCGCTGGGCCCGGGGCCTCGCCCCGCTCTCCCCGTCTAGCCTCCCTCCACGTGTCCGTCTCCCGCCAGCACTCAGCAGCCACGGGCCGCCAGGACCGCCTCGGGCGCTGGGATCTGCTGACCGGTTTGCTCCCCGGCTCCTGCCAGGCACCCACGGGTCCCGCCACGTCCCACGCCCCGTTCCTGAAGGCGCGTGCGAACAGGCCTCTGACCTCCAGCTCCTGGAACTCCTCGTCATCGTCCACGTCGTAGGAGAGCGTGTGGATTTTGATGTCGTCGGCCGAGAGGTCCAGGAACCTGCCCTCGGGGCGCTCCAGGCCGTCCTTGGCAGGCGACCGGCCCTCGATGAAGGTGGTCTCGCAGCAGTCGGCCGCGCCGTCGGCCCAGGGGCGCAGCACGGCCTCCGAGAAGAAGAGGATGTTGGCGCGGAAGTGCGGCTCGGCGGCCCGCGGGAGGGCCCCGGGGTCCAGCGGCTGGCGCGCCGGGCCGCGCGGGGGGCTGCGCGGGGTGACCGGGGCGCCCGGGGCGGTGACCGCCCTGCGGCAGCTGGGGTGCTGAGGCGCCGGGCGCACGGGCACCGGCCCGTCCCTGCCCTCGGCCGGCGCGCTTCGGGTGTTGATGAGCCCGTTCCTCTGCCCGCGCGCCGCGGCGCTCCGTGGCTCCCGGGCGCCGTCCATGCTGCGGGGCCTCGTGCGGGCGGCGCCGGGGTCACGCCGGCCCCCCGGGGCCCATGTCTCCTGGGGGAGGAGGAGGGAACAGGGGTGAGACGGGGAGGCACCTGCGGGAGGGCCCGCCGCCCGGAGCCACACCCCCCACCTGCCCGCCTGCCGGGTCCGGGGCCGCACCGGCCTCGCGTCTCTGAGTCCCCGCCTCCCGGGAGGGTTGTGGGGACCCCAGCCACCCGGCTCCGCAGGGACCGGGCTGCCGGGGGCCTGAGCCCGGGGACAACGCCCCACGCCGCCCCGCACGCCCAGCAGGAAACACGCCCCGGGCGGAGAGGGCTGAACAGGTTCCCACGCAGACTTAGAAATAAGGGGCAGGAGGACCCACGCCATCAGGGCTGTATGTGGGCAAAACCCAGCGGCCGCGACACACGCACATTCTAGAACTCTCCATTGGAATTAGAGGCACACACACACGCCTGCCGGCCTTCGAGCTGGTCCCAGGCATCAGGTAGCTGCTATTCCCCTGCCTGAGGGCGTTCAGCTTGAAGCAACATGTGCACTTTTGTATACAATTAAGTCCTCCAAACTGTTTCTCCCTGGGTCATGTCCGAGTACGGTTTCAAATGTTAAAGAAAAAAAGAAGAGAAGATACCCAAAATTGAGATTTTTGGAGATAAAGAATGAATTTCCTCAGACTGTTCCCCTTTGCAAGTAACTTAACTATTATGTAGGAAGACATTTCCTCTCTGGGACTTTGGAAGCCCTGGCATCCAAAGATATTTAAGAATTTTCTTGCATTAAAACTGCCTTATTTGGTGGTAGCTACGGGAGTCTAAGACTTCAGATTGACCAAAGAGGTGAGACAGCAAGGACCCCTTTGTGAGGAATTGGAAAATAACGTCTTAATAGAGTTGAGAATGACCAGTCAGCTGCAGTCTGTGCCCTGAGGTGGTGGCGTTATTAATGTGACACTGTGTCCGATTTAAGAGCAATGAGGAAACAGACCTCTGTGTCCGCTCACGTGGCACTCGGAAGCGTGGAGCACAGAGGCCCAGTCACGGTCTGAGAACGAGAACCACTAACCGAACTGTGTGAACAGGACCTTTTGCTCACCTGCCGCGTGCGAGGCCCGCACTGTCTGAAAAGCACTGTGGCCAATGACCTTCCAGACCTGCACAATATGCTTATGAGCTGCTTCTGGCCCAAACCCTTGATTTCTCTAGTCTTCCACCTTCCACCGGGAAGCCGCCGGGTTAATGTCAAAGCCTGGCCCCCTCATACGGTTGGGGGTCTGCAGGATGTACTACCAGGACCAGAATAACCCCAAAGCCCAGTTCAGCTCCTTAGACTCGGCCTCTTCCATCCAGATTGGCTGTATGTGTCTTAAGAAGACATTTGGTAGCGTTTGTTCAAATTCCAGCTCCTCAGAGGAACTGCGTGCCCTTGCCCAGCAACAGCAGCCTCCCCTTTGCTGGTATGTTCTCAGCTCTCAGCTGTGGTTTTGCTCACGGCTCCTGTGGCATCTGGCCCTGGCAGCAGGACAGCTACTAACGTCACCATCAGCCCCGGCCCTGGAGCCCCTGAGACCAAAGAACCCAGTAGCCTTTCCCTTCCCAGAACCTGGTGGGCAGCAGGTCCTCAATGGCCTTCTGTGGAAATAACATGTTCAGGTGCTACATGGTGGGGATAATCCCTCCTCGGTGGTCTCCCCTGAATCTGACTTCACGGAGTCTTGAGGCCGGCACAGCTCAGGCCTCTCAGCCTCCCTCCGGGGCCTCCCCCTGAGTGCCCCCCGAGGCTGTGAGAGACACAGGATCCTCAGCACCCCCTTCAGCGTGGTCACAGTAGCTATTCTACACATTAAGTTCGAGGCACTGCTGTGTAGACAGGCCAAGTTTTGGATTGATTGTTCATATAGGTTAGGGGTCCATTTTGTAATGGAGAATTTACTACCTTTTTTAAAGCATTCAAGTAAATATATCAAACAGTTGGCATTCTTTAAGATCTTTCTTCTTGAAGTGAATTTTTTTCAGCATTGAGGTTGTCAGCTATGTTGCACGTGGGAAAGGGGCCGGAGTAGGTGGGCTCTGTGTCTGTCCCTGCAGTGTCCTTCAGTATCTCTTTTATCACAGACTGGCCGTCATACATGACGTCCTTAAGCTCATACTTCCTGTGAGCTCGGTCCCTCCCTCTGCATTCACTTCCACCACCTCCAGCCTCACGTTCCTGCCTGAGTTCAGCCGCTCAGAGGTAAAATAGGGGAGAAGCTGTCAGTGGTGCTGCCTGCTGGGGGACCCCACCAGTCCCCTCCTTTCTGCAGTCTTAGCTGATGGCTGTGCTGTTCTCCCAAGGCTCTTTATGACAGAGAAACAATCACAGAATATAACCAGCATATTCTATGACAAATAGTAGTCTATTTATTTTGTATCTTTTTCTCACTCCATGATATGCAGAGCCAGCAAAGAGGAGAGCCTCTCCCCTGAACCTTTCATGTCCAGCAGCCCCTGCTGTGTCTAGGGTGCTGTCTTCTATTGACAAAACCGTCTCGGCTCCCAGCGTCATCTCTGGGGGACCCTGAGCCTGGGGCATGAGCCCAGCAGAGGAGGCCGCTGGTGTGCGTCACCCGCTGCTCTGCTGGAGGGACAGGCGGGGAGCACAGGGGAGGGAGGGCAGCTCTGTGTCCCTGCACACGGTCGTCTCCTTCCCAGGGCTCACTCTTGGCACTGCTGATGGGAGAACCCTGCCTCCCACAAGCTGGGGTGAGTACTGGGTGGCTAAGGAAACGCACGGGGACTGTGAAAGGAAGAGAAAGACAAAAGTAGGTACACAGCACCTGTGCACATTTTAGATAGTCTAGGAAACGTGTTTTCCTTTACTTTGAGACTGTCATGGTATAAAGAGTGATAACCTAAGAGTCAGGAAACCAAGGATCAGTCCAGTTAAGCTGCCACATGTCTGCGTGATTCCGGGCAAGCAGCTCATGAAAGTGGGGTCACTGACAAAGCAGTTGAGTGAGAGCAGCTCTAAGGTGCCTGTCCGCTCTTGTGGTTTGCACCTCGCGGCCCGTGAGTCTTAGGGTTTTATGGGATTAGATAGAGCTTTTCCACAAGGTAGTAAAAATCTCACATCGATCACGATAGGCTAGGTTTCAGTTCAATAAAATATAGATTTTCCAATCACTTATCATTGCAAGACACAATGCTTGGTGCTTGCTGGAGATAGAAAGATGAGTTCCTTACAGTGAAAGTTTAATCTATGAAAAAGAAATCGATTACATAAACCACTCTAATAAATAGTGAGACCGCAAATGTACCAGAAACCATCACGCCAATATGAATCTGAAATCTAATATTTCAAAATGAGCTAAAGGGACTTGAGAAAATGATAGAATTGTGAGAGAAGAGCATAAATCAGAATTGGGTGAAATCAGAAGCAATACCGTCTGAGGCTGGAAAGAGATGTGAACAGAACCCAGGGAAGAGGTAGAATTAACAAAGAAATAATTGCAGATGTCAAGGCTGCACCAGAAGGGACGCAAGAGTGCATAAGCACAGTGGGCCATCCTTTAAAAGAAACAGAGCATGAAAAATAGAAAAATGCTTTGATCTGAGTGTCACCTGCAGCTGATGCACGGAGCCCGGGGCTTAGGGATCTGCGGGCAGAGCCCTGGGAGGTGGCAGTGACAGCTGCCCCGGCTCTTACTGCTACTGAGGCCAGAGGGACGGGGGCTGACTGGAGCATTCTGTGATCTGTGGAAAAGAGTCATGAGCAGCCTCTGAGGCAGAGCAGCCATCGGGGAAGAGAAAACAGCCTCGCAGGTAACGGTGAAGGAGGCCAGGGCGGGAGAGGCGGGAGAAGGGCTGACTGGAGGGCTCTCGGTGCCCCCTGCCCAGTTCTGTGTTGTTTTTTGGCTTATTTGGCATTTGATTCTTGGAGCTTCTGTGGCCATTAAACCTAGTTTCAAAGTCACCTGGACACAGCTCATCCCTTCAGCCTCCCGAGCTCCAAGGTCATTCTCAATGCCATTTCTGCCCTACCCCCGAGCCATCCAGGCTCCATTTCTGCTCTTTTTGCTCAGAGAAGCCCCTCAGATTCAAGCCACCCAGTAAAGCCGTCCTCAGCTGATGGTCAGAACAAGCTTCTCCAAAGCAGAACCCCTGGGGTCCCCAGAGCCAGGTGGGGTCCCCAGGGCCAGGCGGGACCCTCAGGGCCAGGCAGAGCCCCTGGAGCCCCAACATGCAGTGGCCCAGCTACACTGCCACCAGCCTAGAGGGGCGACTGTGGTTCATGGCCGTGTGTTTCCATGTTGCTACTTTAAATTTTTCGAAAGACACTGACAGAAGAAATGCTTATGAAAAATCTTCCGGATATATTCACGTTGAATCACTTTTGCACAGAATTATGAACAGCGCTAGTTGAGTCTACAGTCTTGACTACCACACTCCCCCACAGGGCCGTTGGGTGAGGGTCCGGAAAATGCCTGACTGACTGTGTCCTGAAAGGCTCCTGGGGGCCCGCCATCCGCACTCCAGGCCTCAGACTTGGCCCCAAGGCTGGAGGCTGCCCCTGATCCTCCACTCCCTGGACCCCACGCACCCAGCTCAGGACACCCAGAGTCTCCTTTCCTCTGAACCGGCCTCTGTGTGTGCTGAGCACATCTGGTTCTGTCTGGCTCTGCTCTCCCCCGGCTGCCTGCTGACCTGTCAGTGGCCTTTGCTCAAACATCTCCCCCCACAGGGCATGTCCAGGTCAGGGCTCTGAGACACAACCCGGCAGGCTCCACTACCATCCACTGCACAGGGCTTGGCCTCAGCTGGTCTGCAGCTCCTCTAGGCCAGAAACCAGCTCAGCCGTCCTTGGGATTCTGATGAGTCCTAGAACTGAGGTGCTTGATCGTGTTTGGCCAATACAGAACACCTTCATCCTTTCATACCCACCAGCAGCCACTCCCCGTTCCTTCCACAGCCCCTGGCATCCGTTCACCTACCTTCTGTCTCTGTGGAGTTGATTATCCTGGACATTGCACGCTAAAGGAATCATACAGTACATACACTTTATGGCTAGCTTCTTTC